GGAACTAGAAAATATCATCAAGGCCAAGATCATCCATATCACTGTATTCCTGATCACTATGTCTGGGTGTGAAAGCTGGGCAGTGAAGAAAGCTGACAGGGAGAAAAGGGATACATTTGAAACACGGGGCTGGCGGGGAGCTTTGTGGACACCCGGGACTGGCAGAAAGGCAAACGAGGGGGTCCTGGATCAAATCAAGCCAGCGCTTTCCCTGGAAGCAAAAATGACAAAGCTGGGGTTGTCATACCTTGGACACATCATGAGAAGACTCCCTGAAGGAGACAACCATGGCAGGGAAATTGAAGGCAAAAGAAGAGAAGGGAGACCAAATTAGAGATGGATAGATTCCATAAAGGAAGCCACAGCCTTGACTTTAGAACAGCTAAGCAGGGACCATGAATTGAAGGGTTTTCATTCAAAGGAAGGGTTGCCCTAAGCTGGAGACAATTTGACAGCATAAATCAACAACAATGGGTCTGCACTGCCCACCCGAGACCCACTTTGCATGTCGGTGAGAAGGAGCTCAGTTCAGAGGGTATCAGGACATCTGGCCGAGGGGACAGATGATGTCAGCATCCCTGTGAATAAGAAGTGGAGGTGCTTGGCTCTGCGAGCTTTGATTACATCACATCCCCAGGAGAGTGTTGGTGTGGACTTATTGACTGTTGGAGAAATGGCCAGAAAGAGGCTTGGTTGCTGCTGGGGGAACATTGCTGCCTGGCCCTAGGTGGAGGTGCTACAGGAAATTCTGCTGCTTTATAGGCAGGGCCAGGAGAGGTTTGGGGGATCACATTTCTGATCTCATACAGTGTGGTCCTGTTGATTGGGCCAGGAAACTGTTGGCTGTAGAGCACTGCTAAAAAGAAATCACTACTCAGTACAGCATTCAGTCATAGGAGATTCATTTGGATTTTAATTGTCAATTGCATTATTGAATATTGGATATTATTGGATTGGACAATCCACCTTTACAGCAGATGCAAAGAGATGAAAATAAAACCCAGGGAATTTCTTGCCTGATGTAGAACTCTGGGGATCTCAAAAGCTTGGGCATTTTTTCCTGATCTTTGGGTTGTCCTAATGAAGGTATTTTGATGGATGTATTTTGAAAAGTTCCCCTTGGGGTGGAACCTGGAAATATTCAAGTCCAGCTCAGTAGGAAAGAAGTGTGGAGACATATCTTTCTCTCCCTTTGCAGAAAAAAAAGGAAGATGCTTGCCGTTGCTGCTGCTGCTGCTACCCTCTCCATTCAACATTTCAGAAGAATGGCTCAGTGATGCAAGGACAGGATAGATTTGTTTTCACTGGAAGCCATTCTAAGCCCATGACTCAGAGCGGCTGCCTCTCTCTGCCCAGCACTCTAGGAAGGGTTGTTCAGGCTCAAGTTATGTACTTTCCATTTTTATTGCCATTCTTTCTGGTCCAAGAGGCCAAGCATGGCAAACTCCTCATTAAAAAGGTTGGTGGGGAGGTTGTTTAGAAAGAATATAGCCTTTCTCACTGCCCCCACTCCCCCAGCACTTTGCTTACCAGGAAGGAGAGCCCTCCCCGTTTAAATCAGGTGCCATGGAGGAAACTGGTGTGCACCCACTGCACCCTCTGCAGGCTTCTCCCATTTTGTGTGGGGGTGTTCTCAAATGCATTCAGGCCAAACTATCTTGCAAATGCAGGAGAGAGCCATGGCTAGCATAATCGCATGCATCTTCTAAACCTTGGAAGCGGTTGTGCTTTCTGCTTTGGAACACTTTGCACACAGAATACCTGAAGGCACGCCATGATGTCAGAATGTGCTGCTGCCTTCAGCTGGTCAGACCAGTTTGTCCATCCAGCACAGTCTTGTGTTTCTCCAGGATTCAGGCACCTGGGACCAACTGCCTGTCAAGTGGGAGCCTGCCACTGAGGCATAGCCCGTCTCTCCCTTCGGCCATCTCAGGCCTCACCTTTATTCCAAATAGGCATACAGCCACTTGTACTTCTCCCAGAAGCTTGTCAACCCTTCGTGGTTTGAAATGGAGGTGCACCAGGGTGTGATGTCTGAAGTGGAATACTCCAGACTGGCAGGGAGGGATTGTCCTTGGCCTGATCCAGCCATGCTCTTCTTCTGCCAGTGAGACATGGCAAACTTGCCCAAGAGAATGCTCCATTAAAAGCATAATTCACAGCCCCATCAGGGTTTATTTATGTAACCCTTGGGCTTCAGGGAGGGACAAGTTACATTGCTAGTGATTGTCAATGTGATTAGTGACTGGGAAAAAAGTTCCCATTGATAGTTTCTTCTTTTCCCATCACTAATTGCAACCCAGCCTAGGCAAGGTGGGGGAAAAATTTTTGCTAGGATGCAAGTGCGGAAAGGAAGAGCTGAACCTGCATGCCAAAGCCCTGGTGAAAAATGCCCTCCCCTGGCCTGGACCAGAGTCGAGGAGATTGTCCTGGCTGCAAGCCACACTCATGATGCACCCTGCCAGCAGACCCTTGGAGCACCCACAGCCAGAGGGCTGCTGCTCATGAACACCACCACTACTTCTTGAGTCAAAGCTGCAGGTGCTTCTTTGGCCTCTGGTGTTCTCTGTGGAAGAGGCCACAGAGTGTTTCACTAGCCCCGGCAGTTCCCTTGCCAAGGGGGGAGAGAAAAGATCTTCCAACCTAAGATAACCTAAGTGCAGCATGCATGGAGTTAAGCCCTCCCGCTGCTGTGGCCTTCTGTTGCTGCTGTGACCACCCCCCTTGCCAAGATCCTTTTCCAGGAGCCCTTGTCTGGCTCAGAATCTGTCCAATGTGTTCATTAGCAGCTACATCTTCCAGCCAGCTGGCACCATGGGGCCTGCTGGAGGCACTTACACTTTCAGGAGCCTGTTCTGGACTTCAGGACTGTCTGCACAGACATAGGAAGATTCTGTCTTTAGGAAAGAACTTGGCCTCACCACCCTTATTAGGTGGAAAAAAAGGAGGGGCATGTTCAATGTCTGAAGCCCTTTCTATGGGGATGTGGAAGGGCTTCATTTGTGCACAGGCAGCAATGACTGGAAGGTGCAATTGGGCCATTGTGGCAGCTGAAACCTGGCAACAACATTCCCTGGCCTGCCTCAGCTTGGCTTTGCCATCTTCTGTTGCCAGACATTCTAACCCCTGGGTGAAGGAGCAGAGATCGTGCTAAACTGTGACCATGTTGAATTAAGCCCTGCTGAAACATTCTTTATTTTCATGCTCCAAAAAGTCTCCAAGGCAAGGGAGTTGAACCCAAGCTTATATGCCCAGTCAGACCCATCTTGGGTCCCAGTTTACTCCTGGTGGTTGCTACCCTCCCTCCCATTCTGACTCAATGTCATGACTGCCCCCCAGGACTAGCAACCTTCTTGTAGTTTCTTTTGCACAGTTTTGCACAGTTCTTTCACCTGCTGAATGGATGAGACCTCTTTCCCAAGTCAGGAACAGCTTCAGGTTAGAACATGCAGATGTGTGTGGCCCTGGTTTCCCACCCCCTTTGACCACCCCCTCCCCCCGCCACACCTCAGAGGTTCTTTGAAATGGAATTCGGCTCTTGGGCTGAAAGAACTTCAACGCTCTTGTTCTAAATACTCAAAATGTCTATCAAATATTTGCGAACTATCTGATGCATGAACTTGACATCTTCTGACTGGATTTCTGCACTTGCTATCACTAGTTACCAACTGGCAAAATTTAATTGTATTGGAGTGCACAACAATCTTTAGATATTCAGTATTTCATAACTGATATCACCTCATATTTACTTTTTCATTTCATTGTGACTTTTTCATTTCATTTCATAGTGATCTCCACCAGCATGAGAAGCCAGGAAAGCCCACAGTACCTCAGTTGTGAATTTTCATCAAATGTCTCCATCAAAATTTAAATGGCAACAGGAATAAATGCTGCTTATTAATTCATCTTCTAAAACAATTGCACTTTGTGTTGAGCAACCTTGCCAGGTTACTTCCGTGTCTCCTGGGAAATCCCTGAGCTGTCCATTCCTTGTTCTTTGAAGAAGCCCCTGAGAGCCACCCTGCCTGATCAGAACCCAGATGGGGCCTCAGCCAGGCTAGGGTTGGACTGCTTCGGGCTGCAGGCAGTGTGGTGTGAATGGTGTGCTTAAACACTCCCAAGGGTAAACTCTTCACTGCTTTCAGAGGTTCCACTTTGAGCAGCACACTCCAGGAAGTACGAGGTGAGACACAGGAATAACCAGATTGCGCTTGAGGCTTTCCTGGAAAATCGTCTGGAGGGCGGCTAGACGTACATCATAGAACTGCATCTCTTCCCACACGCCCTCTCAAACTGCTGACCGGGTAGGTGTACCCGGTGAACAGCCGGTCAGTGTTCGAACTACACTCGCTACTTGTGTTGCCGCAACAGGTGGGGGGGGGATCGAACAGCGAACCAACATCAAGTTTCTCGTGAAATTGAACAAGATGGCCACAGAAACTTATGAAATGATAAAAACAGTGTACGGTGATGACAGTTTGTCTCACACACAAGTTTTTGAGTGGCACAAACGTTTCAAGGAAGGACAAGAAAATATTGGAAGATGTTGAACACCCAGGTCACCCACCCTCGTCTCGTCTCAGGAACACGTTTTGCGTCAATGGATGAAGTGAAGACAAAAAGGGCAAGCCTGATGAAGAGCCTCATGCAAAGAGATTTCCAGCACCGCTTCCACCAAGGGAAAATACATGCGGAGCAGTGTAGAGATTGGGAGGGGGAGAATATAGAAGGTGACAATGTTCAGAATGCTGTAATTCATCAATACATATTTTTATTACTAATCTGGTTGCTTTTGTGTCACACCTCGTACATTCACAAACCTCCTATATTCAGGAGTGTAGTCTGTGGCTGATTGAAGTAGAATGATTGAAGTGTTGTATCCTGCGCAGGCCTCACCAGGTATGGCTAGTGCAGTGCGGCTTGGTTCAGCCTGGCGGAAATCATGCATTGCTCATCTGCAGGTTCGTCTGCTCATGCTTTCCATCTGTTCTGTCTTCCAGGTGTTAATGGAGAAGAGGTCGGATGACAGCCGGAACTGTGGTCATCACAGGCGGAATATTAGCAACTGTCATTTTACTGTGCATTATAGCAGTCCTCTGCTATTGCAGGCTCCAGGTAGGGATGGCAGAGGAATCCATAAGTGGTTCAAATGAGTTGAGTTTCTATGCATTCAGTCTGTGGATTCTGTCGCAGACCCGCCTTGACTGGGTTGCGTGGATGCCATAGTCTTACCAACTGTGTGGAGGACATTTGCGTTCATGTACGTTGGCACAAGTGCACATTGGCCTATTTGCCAATGACTGAATTTCTCACCCACAGCGTCCAATTCTGTCAGTGAGTGGGCAACATACTGCAAGATGTCTGGTAATGCAAAAATGGGAAGAGTGGGTTTAAGCGAAATCCATGCATCCCCAGCCTCAGGAGGGGGATAAGCAGTCTGCGGACTAAATCCGCCGATGATACAAAAGTGGCCACAACTGGGGAGGAGACCTTCAGATCCAGCAGGTTCTAGACAGCTGTGGAAGTTGGTGGGGGACAACAGGGTGGTATTCAATGTGGATAAGTACATTTGGGACACAGGAATAGCTGTCACAGGTACAGGATAGGTGTCAGCGTTCGGGGCATGAGTGGCTGGGTATCAGATCAGGGCACCAGGACCCAGGCAACTGGCACGATATACCAGCCCATTCCAAATCATAGTCAGGCAGCCCAGAGATCAAGGTGGGAAACAGAAGGGCAAGGCAGGCCAATCCGAATGGAGCAGAGCAGTCTGAGTACCTGTCAGGAGTCAAAAGCCAGAGAGACAAGCCGAGGAGAAGCGGATACCTGGGACTGGAGCAGGTGAAGCCAGGCATGGTCAGAGGCAGAGGCAGGAGCGAGGCGGCGGGCAGGGTCTCCAGAAGCGGGTTCCAGAAGGCACAGGGAGCTCCAACAGCACCAAGGCCCTTGGTTGCTGAGGCCACGTCTGAAGGGAAGAGCCAGTTTTGAGGGAGCCCCTCCCTCAGGGCTCCCAGGTGGTGGCCAAGTCCTGCAACCACCCGGCTGCTAGTCTGTCCTCAGTACCTCGCAATGGGTTCTTGTGGTACAGAACAGCCTGTTGACAGCAGGCTGAACACGAGCCAGCAGTGTGACGCAGTGGCTAAGAAGGCAAATGCTTCCCTTTATATATATAATACACACACACACACATACACACTCACTCATACATACATACACTGGCTATAAGTGTGGCTTCCAGACCTAGGGAAGTGTTGATACACGACTCTGGTGCACCAACAACTGGAGTACTGTGTCTGGTTCTGGGCTCCACATTATAGGAGATACATAGCTAAGTTAAAATTGGTTCAGCACAGGGGCACAATGGTTGCCAGGTTGGGAGGGGTGACATATGAAGAGCGATTGAGGGAACTGGGCCTTTTCAGCCTGGAGAAGAGGAGACTCCAAGGGGACCTTTTAGCAACTTGCAGGTATGTGAGGGGATGTCATGTGGAGGAGGGCTGTGGCCTGTTCTTAGCTGCAGTGGAGGGGTAGGACACGTTCCGACAGGGCAAAGCTCGAGGAGCCAGGTCTCAGGTTGGATGTCAGGAAGTACTTCATGATGGTTAGGGCCATTAGAATATGGAATGGGCTTCCAAGGGAGGTGGTGGAGGCCCCATCCTTGAGAGTGTTCAAGGATAGGTTGGACAATCACATGTTGGGGATCACATGAGCAGAACCAGCAGGAGCCGGGGGTCAGACTAGATGGTGCAGGAGGCCCCCTTCTGACTCACTTTGTTTCTATGTATTCAAGTGCAAGATCAGGAAGCAGGGAGAGAATGATTAAAAGGCAAGGGAATGGCCATCAATTTACTTTCTGGAACTTTCCAATTCTGGAACTGACCTGTTGATGAATCTCTGGAAATATTTCAGAGAGTTTGATGCATGTTTCTCTTACTTATTTTGGGATTGCACCAGAGATATGCAAATAGCCAGGATTTTGTATGAATGGAAACAGCAGCTTATACTCCTGTCTGCCCTGTGCTGGCACCGTTGAGATGTGTGGAACTGCAGCCCCAGATGAACTTCCAGGCTGGCACTGCTGAAGGAAGAGCAGGCTGTGAAAGCTGCTCCAACTCCTCCAGCTTGTGGGCTGCTTTGAGGGGTTGCTGGGGCATCATCCTTAAAAAGCAGGCAGCCTGATGAGTCCATGTGGATTTCCAGTAGATTTTCTGCCCAAATTTATTGTTGCAGAGCCAAGTCTGTGTGCTTCAGGTTCGCTAAGGAAACCTCAGGGTGACAATTCCTAAGCTACTTATAAATCATCAGCAGAGGAGAGGAAACGAGTGGTCACCATTTGGTATCAGTTCTGCATTTGCTATTTCTTAAATATTGATACTAGCTTAGAAATAAGTATTTAGAATGCCTATAGAAGTCCTTACAGTGTGGCCGCTTGTTCCTCCTGTCTTTTTACCTGTTCTTCCAACAGAACAAGATGTTCACACTTACTGCCTCATGTTGAGGTTTTGGCTTCAGAGCCATCTCCCCAGTGAGCTGGGCTGCAACTCCCCGCAGTACCACCTGTGGGGTGCTGAGAGTTGCAACCCAAGCCCACAGGGCGTCAGAATAAACAAAACTTCTCTGAATGGGCAAGTTTGGGCTTGTGGCACATCTGGGGTTCCATCATCCTTGCAGGCTGCTTTCTTGGTACTGTGGGAAAGTGGAGGATAAACCTAGCAATGAAGGGGGGAGGCATTTCCTCAACACATCCCTGGTTAATTCTCTTCTCCAGTATTACTGCTGCAAGAAGGATGAATCAGAAGAGGATGGGGATGAGCCAGACTTTGCTGTGGACTCCCACATTCCCCCCCTGCATTGCAACCGCAACGTAGCTCTGACCAACGGCCCCTCCCTGTACCACTCCTCCACTGCCACCTCTCCCTACAAGAAGCCTTCACAATGCCGGACACTCTGCTCAAACTGCTCCCACTATGAGCCACCCACCTTCTTCCTCCAAGAACCAGAGGAGGATGTCCGCAATGGAGGAGAGCTGGTCAGCTACAAGGCCTTGAGCCAAGAAGACCTGGGGCGGCCAGTCAGCCTAGGAGGCATGCAGGCTCTCAACCCCAACCGCCTGTCAGCCATGCGGGAAGCCTTCTCCCGCAGCCGCAGCATCAGCACTGACGTCTGAGCATCACCTGTGGCAGCCACGCAGGGGCTGACTCAGTTGTTGGCTGCCAGCCTGGCAGGGCAATGCAGCCCTCCGAGGGGCTGTTTTTTCCCTTCAGACCTCTGCAGCTTTTAGACATGACACTGCTCTTTTAAAGGAAGAAAATCCATGGGAAGACTTTTAAAAAGATGAATGTATTTATATGTTATGTAAAAGATCAGTTTATCTATCTATCTATCTATCGATCTATCTAGCTATCTATTAATTGAATATTGTGGGGGTGGGGGAAGGATGGCAAATCAATGGACAGATGTGTAGGTTTTCTACAGTTAAGTGTTGACAATGATGTCTTTTTATATATATAAGTAGGAGATTTTGATATAAGGGATCCTTTTGTAGGTATAAGATGGTGTTCCTTCTTTTGTCACCATTAGGAGTACAGGCACACCCAGCACGCTGCTGCTTCCCCATGGCCTTCACACCAGGATGGCTGAGGCTGAGCATGTGACAGTTTCCTCCTTCCTCCAGCCGTGTTTGGGGCTGGCTTGGGAATGCTGGCCAGTGTCAACAGCAGGCCTGCCTTCTCTAGGCTGGAAGTTGCACCAGTCTGATGCAGCCGGGGCCTGTCAGAGACGGGGCAGGGTTTCTGGGACAGATGGATTCTGGGCACAGTGCTTGACCAATAAATGTTTCCTACAGGTACTTTCAACCTGGGTCCTGCAGCCCACCATTCACCACAGCTATGAGGTGCCATCTGCTCACATCCTTGGCATGTGCCCGTCTTAAAGGAACAAGTCGTTTATGGTTACCTTAGGTTTTGGAGGGATCCATATGGTGCTCCAAATGGCACTTCCCAGAGCAGTAAAACGCAAAAAGGAGAGGTCCCATGCCCTGAAGAGTGCAAATGCCAGTAAATGTTAATTGAACTCTGACACAATTGGCTGTGAGAACTAACACTCTTGTAACTATGCCAGGAAGAAAATGATGTCATATCTCACACAAGCCACACACAAAAGAAATATCGCCCCTGCTGTCCTACAGAGCTCATAGCCCACTTCTAGAAGGAGCCTGCTTGGCTTCTACTGTCAGCTGCCATCATGTGAGCGTCAGCAGAAATTGGAAATTATTTCAACTATAAAATTGCCCTTTGGGTCGAGTGCTAAGTGCTGCAAAGCAACTAGACAGCTGTCTGAGTGGGATGGTTTAACTAGGTTTCCTGCAGTGAGAGTGTGGGGGTGGGGTTGGCCACAACAACCCTCTGGCCCCTTCCAACACGACTGTTCTATGATTCTAGGAAAGCACTACACGGATTAGCTAGTCCTAGCTTGCTATGTTTGGGACAAAAAATTTCTGTGAGATTGCGTTCATATTCCTAGAAACAATTGAGGAAAGGCCATCAAACCAGTCAGTCCTAGAGGAGATCAACCCTGACTGCTCTTAGAAGCCCAGATCGTGAAGATGAAACTCAAATACTTTGGCCACCTAATGAGATGGAAGGGCTCCCTGGAGAAGAGCCTGATGCTGGGAACAATTGATGGCAAAAGGAGGGGATGGCAGAGGATGAGGTGGCTGGATGGAGCCACTGGGGCAGTGGGAGTGGGCTTGGGTGGACTCCGGGGGATGGTGGAGGACAGGAAGGCTTGGAGGAATGTTGTCCATGGGGTTGCTATGGGCCGGACATGACTTCACGGTCAACAACAACAATCCTTGCTCTGCAGTACATTAGATCTTACTTGCACCTGTCCTTGCTGGTCCTAGGACCTGGGAGGCTAACAATACTGGCCATTAGTTCTGGAAAAAAATCATTCCAGGTTGCTGAAAAAATGACCTTGGCTGAAATCTTCAGTGGCTCATGAGAAGGGAAGGGGCACCTTGAATTATCCAGCATGATCATGTTTAAGTTAAGCAAACACTGTTATTTCTGGGGCACATATGACCTGGCAGATGGGTCACTACATTATTGAGGCAAATGGATGAGGGAGAAACATCAGTGTGCTTGCTGAAAGGAAGATGCTATTCCAACAACTAGAACTTTTTTACAGCGGTAATGTCATGCAGTAAAAAGGTTGCCTCAGCTGGCATCACTGAAACTAGCGCCTGTCCTGGCAAGTCTGTACCATGAGCCCCATAGCCTCCCACTCCTGCGACCTTCTGCAGTCATTCTCGACTTTGGCTAGGATGAAGGGTCAGTGCAGGTTGCCATGCTGGCTGTGAGGAATTCACAGCTTGTCTGCACGAGGTTGTTAATCAACAACCTCAAGCTCTATCTACCTTGCATTTTGTGCAGAACTGAACTCCAAGTTCTAAACAAAGTGTTTCCTTCCCTGCTTTTCTGTTGCACAGCCTCTAGATAGCCTTGCCTTATCACAGAGGTTCACAGGTAGAAAAACAGGAAAATATATTTTCTTTTGCCATCAGACAGAATACCACACTTTCCTTGCTTTAAAAGAAAAGGATAAAAGTTCTGTCAAAAAAGAAGTGCAAAATCCTTTAGGAGGATTGCATAAAGAACCTGTAAACAATCAGGAGGAAGGAACTACAAGAGCATAATATATTCCTCATGCAGAAAAGCTTTTGCAGTTCAGAGAACAGAAAGCAAGAGCTATAGCTTCTCTTCTGATAGTTAAAATGTTTTATTCTCTGTTTTTACAGTTCTGCACATTAATCACAAAACAGCTTGCCTCCCTGGGAAGGGCAGAACTCCAAGTAGCAGTTTGGGCTGAAAGACTTCTGTTTGCTGTCGATGCCCTCGGTGAGGGGAGGGTGCGCAGAGAGCCATCCAGGTTGCAGGATACTTTCTGCAACTTGCTCTGCGAAGGTGATCATTTAAGCAAATGGGCACTGCCTTCGTAGACAAATCAGTTCACTTACAACTGGGTTTCTTCAACAGGATTGGGGGATGGTATCTTTTCCATTCATTTGTAATGAGTTACAATATCCTACTCAGGCTGTTTCTCCTACGGAAAATGTTCATATTGCTGTGTTCTATCTTAAGTGATCTGATGTTAGAGCAGCTGCTTCCACAGAACTTTGGGTAAATTTTGTACAATTCTTCTTAAAACTTGTATTTGTTTCAATGGCATTTTTAAAACACTGGGGTTTCTTGCATTTCGATTGTGGCTATGCTTATCTTCCTCTTTTTCTTATCTGCTCATTTATTTTTCCTCTTATGTAGCTCTGAAATTTAATCATTTTCATTCACCCGCATAGGTGGTAAAGTTGTACAGGGCTTCTGAGAACGTATGTTTTTAAAAAATAAACTTATCTGGACTTTGTTACCAAGACAGAAATGTTCTTTTTCATGAGAATCAGAAAAATCCACAAAACCTTGACTAGGGAGTAAAAACTGGCATCCAGGAGATAAGACTTGACTAAAAAGAATTAAAAGTTTGTGGACATGCTGAGCTAAGCTGCTAGCCAAGGCACAATTACCTACTAATTAATTATATACCTACCACATTAGAGCTTTCCTTGCTCTCCATAAAGCCATAGGTTTGGTCTCATAAGCTCCACTTCAAAGGATGGGATTTTTTGTAGCTAAAAACTCTGGAAAGGCTCTACCCATCTGAGCAGATGCAGACCCAGGCCTGATGGCTCCTCCACCATCAGCTCCTGATAGATTTGAGTCTGGCATCTGGGGAGACCACCTGCCTCCACTCTGTAAGCAAGGCAGGGTTTCTATTCCCTGCTCCTGGGGAGGAACATCTGGAATTAATCTGACCTCAGCAGGCACAAATTCTGTCCCAGCACTGGTACTCAGAGCTGTTCATGAATAAACATAGCAAAAAAGTGTTTGACACCCATGAAGCACCATGGGTCCCTCATATGGCCACCTCCGTGTTCTGGGCAAGGCGTTCTGTCAGGTGTTGTATGAAGAGCCTCCGTGTCCTCCAGGGCCCAGCGGCCTGTTGACCATGCCCATGACCAAGCCAGGTGTGCAATCAGCCCTGTGGGCTACATGAAGCCCATGTGGAGGGATGAGTAAGGCAGCTTGGGACCATGGTCAGGGGTGGGAGGCATGGCTGTTGCTGTCTGGATCAGAAGCCCTCTGCTGCTGACACCTTCTTGCAGTGGAAAGAGAGCTCCCATCAGGGGAAGGGGATGCTGAATGGGAGTAGGGCAGGCAAGAAGTCCCGCTTCCCTCAGGTTGCAGTCTGGTTCTGCCAACTTCCCTGGGCTGCCTGTTCGTGTGTTGGGGAAAGCACTTGGCACAGATCACGCCTAGCCTGGCTCCAAGGGTCACCAAGTTAGGAACACAGAAACAGAGCGAGTCAGAAGGGGCCTCTCAGGCTCCAGCCGACTCTGCTCATGACATGCCCACCATGTGCACATCTAGCCTAGCCTTGAACACCCTCAACCACCTCCCAGGGAAGCCCAATCCATACCCTCAGGGTCCTAATTGTCAGGAAGTGTTTCCTGGCATCTAAATGGAACCTTGGTTCTGCCAGTGTCTTTTCCCCTTCTTGTTCATAATTGTGGCATCCAGAACAAATGGAAGAATTTTAAGAGACCAACCATCTGGCACCATAAATATGACATATTTTATTTAAAATATACATATGAGTATAGTTCTATGGTTACAGGGATAAAGTTTACAGTTTGTAAACAAATATATTAAAAAAGAGCACGTGACTCTTTTGTGATATAAAGTGCAGTTATGTTGTCATTATTCAATACAATATGCTGGCATTATGACATTTTAATGAAGGACTACAGGGGGTTGGATTACAAGAGAAAATCTTCTGACAAGGATGCACCTACATATCACATCAAATGGTCTTAGGCACCTGGGCAGCATTAATTTCCACTTGCTGTTGCCAATCTGGGGAAAAATTCAGGGGGTGGAGAATTAAGGCTAGTAATGTGTCCGCAGGAAAGGAACAGCCAGCAAGCAAGAGGGTGAAATTTACAGATAGAGAGTGTGGGCTGGATCTGGAACTGGCTTGGTGATGTCCTTGCTGAGCTCACTCCAAGCAGGCCTTTTCTTCTCCCAGTCTGATCTCTTAAACAAGCCAGTTCTGCATCTGTGTAGCAACAGCTGACTGGCCAGCGATAGCTCCCTCAGCAAACCCCAATGCAGAATCTTTGAAGCAGTTTTGCAAGTACTCCTAAAAGTTTAGTGAAAGGGAAGGTGACCGTGATAAAGGGATAAGCACAGGACTCTTTAAGAAACTGTTCCTAAAGAGAGCATTTGATCCTGAACCTTGCTGTCTGCAAGATCAAGGAACCTCGGTTAGCAGGAGCACTCCACTTGCCAGAGGTCCCACCACATAATTTTAGAAAATCCACCCCCACCACACACACCAGCGCTCACCCCCTTCAGCAAGGGCCTCCTGGCTCTTTCTGCAGTATTGTCAGGAGGCCAGAGGAACTGCCTCAAGGAGAAGGGAGCAAGAAGCCCAGTTCCATCAGTGCAGTTGATCCAGCAGCAATCTGGATCTAACCCCGCAGTTTACCTAAAGCATGAGAAATGGGCAAGTTGATAGTGATCCTGGCATTTTTATGGGATGGAATAAACATCATGGTGAAGTGACCACCAGTGATGAACCTACTATAACACTGCAGTGCTGCAGTATTTGAATTTCTTCTCAGCAGCTCCAGACAGATAGGCTCACTAGATGCCAACCAACCAGGTCAGGAAGGTTTTGATTGCAAATTAGAAGGCAGAAATTGTGCATGGAAATACCACATTTACTCTTAGGACAGATTATAGGGTGGTCAAAAATGAAAGATACAATTCTGTTCAGGTCTTGCTGAAATCAAAACAAAAAGAAACAAAGAAAAAAGTTCAAAGCCAACCCAGCCTTTTGTAAAGAAAATCAAAGAGCTTTTCAAGGTTTTAGGTATACAGCTTTTCTCTATGAGTAGTGAACCCATCAGCACAGCATCTGTGAATGAGGGAGGGGGAAGAAGGTGAGCAAGAAGTCTTGGGTGGACAAGGCTGCTGGCCCTCACTTTCCATGGCACAGTGTGCCAGCAGGAAGTGGCAAGTCCTGGCCTCCCTGCTGGTGACTCTTTAGGACTGGCGGGTCCTCACTGCCCTGTCGCCTCTTAGGAATGAGGCACCCTACAGGATCGGCAACAGGCCTTGCTGTAGTACCAGTGGCTGCAGAGGTTCACCTTGATGGCCAGCGCACAGTTCGTCCCCACCTGGTCCTGGCAGTTGTCATCTGCAGAGCAAGGGGAGAGAAAAGATGACAGCGTGAGCCTTAAAGAAAGGAGAGCTCTCCCCTGCCCGAGGCTCACACCCTGGCTGTGCATGAGCACATTCACCCCTCTGGAACACCAAGCCATGCTGAAAGATGTGCTCAGGAATCTCTGGGGCCAGTGCAACCCAAAGGGAGTGTCATTCAATACACTATACAGGCACCCTGTGCAGCACACGCTGGACAGTCCCATTTCCTTATGTGGGGCAAAAAACGGGCAGAGGCACTCCTAGGGAGTCTAAGGAGGACCAACAAAATTCTGCCTGGCAAAATGGGAAGCAAAACACTCTCAGCAAAAACATTGCTAAATGGGATGTGGATTGAGGGTTCAAGTTTGGGTTAGTTGCCTTTGTTCTGCAAAGGAAGGACACAGCTAACTTGTCTCCAATTCCAAAGGCTTAAAGGATAGTGCAAGGGCAAGATGATTTAACACAGTGTGGTATTAACATCTACCCTGGAAAAAGCCAGGCCACCACAAAATCCACAGGCCAGATGCACCAAGATCTGTTGCAGAGTTCTCCAGCTTCCCTGTTCTTGAGCAAAAGATCTGGAGAAGTTTAGAGCAACTAAACAGGATGATAAAATATTGTGGGGAAGGAGGCCCCAACCACAGGTGATCTCCTTTAATCAGGCATGGAAAACCCCACCTACTCTGAATCAGAGCTTGACTACTTGCCTGGTATCCCCAGGACAGTGAGAGGCACTGTCCTGATCTCTCCGCTCTGCGTGTGCCATTGAGCTCGGAGAGCCACGTTCTAGTGGGGAGTCAGGAAAACAGTGAATGAGGCAGAGGCAAGATACCATCTTCCCTTGCCTTAAAGCTCCTCCTGCCAGTAGCAAAAGCCTTGGGAGAAGCACATCAGCCTTTTGGAATGGGAGAAAATGTGCCAAACTGGGACCCTCCAGATTACTGGTGGTTATTTTGGGGGGATAGAAGAAGGCCAAATTGGGCCTCAGGGTGTGCTAGATTTGGCCCCTGGTGCTGAAAAACGGGGGGGGGGGGGGGTTAGTGCCCATGGCAGCATGTACGATCCCAAGGTCCTGAGGATGTCTCCTGCTGCTTAAGAGAATCTTGTAAGGAAGAACACGACTCAGCAGGGCTGGCAGGAGGTCTCCAGAATAAGCACTTACATCCTGGATTTAGAAGCTCTCCTACCAGGTGCATGTTTGCTGTGCTTTGCACACATAAGGGCCCAGCACTCAGAAAATGCCACATAACATCTCTCACTGACCTGGTGGCTCAGTTGGGCAGGGCTGGAGGTCACAGGTCTGTTTTCCCACAGGCTTAATGAGAGGATCACAGCCCCGGACAAGGTCTTTCCCCTGGTAACACTTGACGTCTCGCATCCTCACACCAATGCCGCATGTTTTCGTACACTAGGGGCATGTGAAAAAGAGGGAGGCCATTTGGGGGGACAACAGGTAGGACGGGGAAAAGCAGGCACTGGCAAGCAGAGGAATTTAATTCGCAGTTGACCAAGCATTCACATTGTGGATGAGCAACTTGAAGTGCAGAATGCACAAAACTGCCACAGAATGTGAAATTCACAGTCTCCGTCCTGAAAGCAGAGGAGACCCAAACAAATTGGGAATTATCAGAACAGCGGGTGAACATTTGAACTTCCTGGTCAAAAGGATTCAGAATTTCATGGAGCAGAGTTGCTTAAGTACAGAATTTTAACATTTTAGTTTTATATTATGTAATCATTTACTTTCCATTTCAGTTTTTAGGGAAGCAAAATGTAGAAAGTTGTTGCCTGTCTGAATGAATGAGGCAGCTTTAGACAAATATTGTCTGGCAACACAAAAATGTCAACAATTCACTGCTGCAGAACATATGTATTTCCACATATATAATTTTTTAACAACTCTTCAGCACGTAACTCAGAAGAAGGGCATCTTGAGGAGGGAGCAGGTTGGGAGCCCCTTGAAGAGCCCAGGAGGTCCCTCCACAGGACCACCTGACAGAGCAAGGCATGCCCATTTCCTGCAAATGAAAGTGAAACGCCATCCTCAGCCAAGCTTTTCTCCAAAGGAGACTTGAGTGCGAACTGGACCCTCCTTTGCCCAGGGTCTGGCCTGGCCCTGGCAGCTGCCATAGCTGTTCATCCAGCTGAGACTTGTTGCGAGCGGCTGCCACGAACTGGTTAGGCCACAGCAGCCCCGTGCCAAAGTGACTCTTCTGCTGTTCTAGGGGCTCAGGGCAAGATGCAGCTGGCAAAGAAGCAATCAGAACTGCCTGTGCTTTTCCAGAGGCAAGGAAAGAGGCAGGCGTGCCTTTCCTTGGACTCTGGCAAGGGTGATGAAGAGCAGCATGTGGAGAGCAGGCTGAAGGGGCCTGAGAGGGGTGGCTCTGGAGCATCACTTCCACCTCAGGAAGGCAAATCTGCAGGGACCTCTGGACTTTCCTTCAGACAATTGCTGGGGGACTGCCTCATGCTCCTCATTTTGGGTTCCAGGGGGATGGTCCTGGAAGACAGCCTCTCATGCAAACAGGCTGGGCAGCACTGACTTACCAAGTGGGAAGCTTTTCCACTCCTCCTTCAATACCTTGGAAAAACATATTTTGTTCATGTACCAATGTGTCCACATCAATAGCCACCAATTTGGACAGCTGTCACAGAGGATTAGATCAGTTCATGGAGAGTCAGGATAGTGTTCGCCCCAGTGGCTACAGGGTCAGAACAATGTTCCTGTGTGCACCAGTTGCTGGGGAACATGGGCAGGATGGTGCCATTGCCCTCCTGTCCTGCTTGTGGCTTCTACTGGGGCAGCTGGTAGGTTTCCATGGGACTGGACAAGTAGGGCCCTTGGTCAGAGTGGATCAGCCTTTGCCTGCTCTTAAGAAACTGCTTATATGACTGACCAGGCTTGCTCTTTTGATTTTCAGAGAGTTAGGGTTAAAGGTTAGTTGGCTGTGGCAAAAGCAACCATGAGTCTTGCAGCACCTTAAAGACTGAAGCATTTATTCTGGCCCAAGTGTTCATGGACACAGCCCACTGTGTGTATCTCATGCCCACAAAAGCTTTGGCGTGAATAAATCTGGCGATCTTTAAGGCAATCTGCCACAAGATGCTTCATTCAATCAACCATCTCGTGCTCCCAGCTCATCTCCCAGGAGCTTGCTCATCCTCAGTTGTACTGCACTTTTGAAAAGTTGCAGTGTTTACTCCAGCATTTATGCTGTCCATAAAAGCTCTGTGAGACAGGGCAGCACAATTTCCACTTTTCAGATGGCAAACAGAGCTCGTCCAAGGTGACGTCCCCAGCCAATCCCAGAGCCCGCAGGTCCTCCCTGCTCACCAGAGGAGGGCTGCTGCCTCTCCCTGGGTTGGTGTTGCCCCCACTTCACAGCCTCCACTCCAATGTGCTCACCCCACCTCATATCCTTTGGGGTGCACCCCAGCCCTCACCTCTGACCAGGGGGTTGTGTACCACTTGAAACACGGGCGCTCAAAGCAGGTATTTTCCTCCATGGGTTTCTTGGCAATGTCACATTCTGCCAGGCTGCGGGTTTTGATTTTCCCATTGATGATCTCCAGGCAGAGCACGATCCGCTTCTTCACCCCTCGGCCACATGTAGTGTTACACTGTCGTGGTAGGAAAAGCCAGTTGGAGCAGGACCTAAAGAAAGCCCCTGGAGTGGGGTGGGGGCTGCCTCACCCTCCGCCACAACCCTGCCCACCACTCCAGAGCTTCCCCGTACCCGCTCCCAGTCTTGGGCCAGCCAGTGGGCAGGGCAGTTCTTATCTCCACAGGGGTGGATGGCGAGGGGCTTGCTCTCCAGGTTGCACTGTGATTCTGGCACCACACGCCCGTCGCTGGTCTTGCAGTACACATGCCGGATCATTCGGCCCTGTCCACAGCCTCCGCTACACTGAAAGAGACACAGATGAGAGGGGCACCCACAGACTGCATGTTGACAAAATAGGTGCAGGGGCCCCTAACTCGTGCAAGCAGCCAGCACAGGAGACCTGCAGGCTTGTCGGGAGGCAGCACAAATGAGGCCTCCTCCTTCAACCCTAATGAGAGGCCTGGGTGCAAACTGCAGTGGAACCTGCCCAAGCATCTGGCGTTCATCTTGGTCATCTAAAAGACCCCTGGCTTTTGCGAGTTGGAACAACACCTCCGCATTGGTATTAGAAATACCAGTCCTGGAAATATTCAGTCCCACCTACAAAAAAATGCCATTTAAAAAACAAAAGAAAAAGCTGTCTTCCCTCGTGATAACGTCTAACAATTCTTTCTTGGCATAATGAGGCATCAGGATTGCAGAGGATAAAATGCAGTGTAAGACCTACTTACAGTAGACCCACAGAAATGAATAGATTTACCCTGAGTAGGACTTCGACTGGCTTCTACCTGCAGTTTCAGGATATGCAGAGAGGGCTCTGTGAGGTACCCTGTGCGCATCCACAGAGTGGTCAATAGCTGTTCCACCCAGTGCGCATCTAAATCCAGAAAAAACACCCTCCATCTCCACCACGAAGGTGAATGCAGCTTGGCACACTTCCATGAGCTGTCTGGCAGTGCTTGTTCTGCAAGAGCACTTCTGTGTCGTACAAGTGTTTCCTCTGCCTTTGGCAGTGTCGGCACTGGAATGCATCACTGCAACTGCCAAGATGCCCCGGTCTGCAGTCAGCTGGACCTCCACCAAGGCAGGAGGGACAGTGAGTGGGTGCAGGTGGCGCTGTGTCCCCAGTTCCCCACTCACCCCAGTGGGCACGATCCAGATCCTCATCGCAGGGCTGCTCTCATTCACCTCAGCGAGGGATCATGCAGGAGAACCTCTCTGTGGATTGTGCCCTTCCCGCTTCCCCTCAACCCAACTGGGCCTTTGGCAGAAAGAGCTTCCCAGCCCCATCACAAGTGCAAATGGCTACGAACATTTCTCCTCTGTTTGCAGGAGAAAGAACCCAAGAAGGGGGCTATTTCCAGATTCCATCACCCCATGCTCCTCTGTGGGTCTCTTTTCAGTAGCTGAAGTCCTCACAGTTACCAGCTGTTGCCATGGAGAACACTTATTTTTAGCCAATGCTGCTGAATTGAAAATCAGGGTAAAAATAACCTGAGGAGGTGGCCTGCATGACATGCAGACAAACACAGAGATTTTATGCTAAGAGGAAAGCTAACTCCAGACCCACACAATTTTTTGGTCACTCATCATGTCTGAGCAGTTTAAATGAACCTGAGGCTTCCTTCAGAGCTCAGTCCAGCCCCAGGTGCACTCTGTCCCCGTGCCATCCAACCCTTTGTTATTGTGTTCTGAGTTCCCCGGCACACTTGATGCCCCTTCCCAGGGCATCACTCCCTTCTTCTGCCCCATGCCAAGCCATGAGATTCCTCCTTGCCCAGCCCGGTGCAGCAACCTCCAGAATTTTGGGGCTATGATTCACAGCATCCCTGACCACCAGCCATGCTGGCTGAGTTTGAGGGGTGTCCAAGGCAGGCACAGCTGTGGGGACCAATCTGTCCGTTCAACATTGAAGTCACATCCTGGGTAACCATGTACATTTTGTAATAGAGCATGCCTCCTTTAAGAAAAGTCTTACTGCCCTAAGCTTGATAGCCAAGATCCTTTTCTTTTTTCATTTTATTAGCATCGACATCCCACCAGCACCCTTCCAGGTCATCACAGGCAAGGGAAGCATTGACGAACATTAACCAGTTTCTGAAACATGGATGGCCTGGTTCTCTTTTCCTCATCAGACAGGAAAATAATGGGAAGAGTCATGCACCAGAAGAATTTATGCAATTGTATTTCCATCCCTTTTCCCTGAACTGGAACTTCCTTTTGCATCCTCTCACTTAAAATTTCTGTCATACTGGGATGGGGGTGGGGGGGATGTTTTACAAACATGCTGAGAAGAAAATTTCAAGCAGCCTCAGCATTCATGTTTGAAGAAATAGGGGCTGGAGGCAAGCAAAGTTACCTCCATCTTATATAATATCTCCTTTCCAATTTTTTTCTGAGAAACAGACTCCCCAGCCCTGCTGCCTGTGCCATGAAAAAAAAGAAAAGTATTTTTCTATCTATGGTTTGGAGACTTGCAGAGATAAAGAAGTGAAATTGGCCTTTTGTCCTGCGACCCCAAATAAGTGACTGAGGAAGCTGAAGATGGGTAAGAGGGCGTTAGCGTCTGGACTGCTGCATGTGGCTGGAGAAGGGCTTTTACTGGGAGCTACGGAGGGGCTGCCAAATCTAGGCCTCCTGTGTTCTCCAGGTGACACACACAATTTGATCCCCACAATGTGAGAAGTGTTGCCTGGTTGGCTGAACTGAGTGCTATCGGATAGCTAAAACAGACACCACACACATGGCTCATTCAGACACGGCCCAGCCTCCCCCAGGTCTGGGCCACTGGAATGGTTTTGGAGTATAATTCTCGTCAGCCCCCAGCCAGCACGCCAATGGCTAGAAGTGATGGGATTTGCATTCCATAATTTGTAGAGGTTAAGAATCTGTCTTAAACCCTGAATGGTGTTCTTCCACAATGGTGTAGAACTGCCTGCTCAGACCTGCTCTGATTTCAGAAGGGGCAAAAGCCTAAAAGCTCAGCATGTCCACAGATCTTAACTATGGTAGCTCTATGCAACCTCTCTCTGGTAAAGCAGCTGGGTTGGGATTCAATGGTAGGTGAAGGAGAGCATCTTGGAGACAGGATGCTGGCCTAGACACACCGACCGTGGTCTGATCCTCCAAGCAACTCTCTCCTTAACAAGCAAGCCTGGGTGTTATTTACCATTTCTATAGCTTATCAGTATTGGACCACTGGCCCTTGGTTCCCCCATGCATTTCTATCCCACCCAAGTGAAAGCTTATGACAATAAAAGTTTCAAATGTAGCAGCAGCAGCACTCACTGGTCCCCAGTCAGAGACAGTCCATTGTCTGTCACAGGGCGGCCCAGTGCAGTTCTTCTCTGCAGCCGGCCTGACGCTGGCATCACAGAGTCTCTCCTCTTCTGAACACCGGATGTCTCTGCTCACGATGCTCTTCTCACCACACTTGGCTGTACACTGTGGGTGACGGTTAGAAGAAAAGGTGAGTTGCAAAGCAGGGAGATGGAATGCTTCCTTCAAATATTGGGGAGGTAGAAAATAGTTAGCATGGAAGGAAGGACCAAGCTTTTGCACTTAAGAACATAAGGAAAAGACATAGGAAGGGTTTGGAGCTTTCTGGAACTGTTGTGTGTCAACAGTTCCTTTCTGGAGCATGTGGAAGAGAGGAATGCTGGAGGATTTTGCCAGTGAAACATACCCCATTGAACGCTCTACCCATGAGTGCCTATCTGGCAAAAATATTTGCAAATTGCTGAACGTGTACTTATCTCTGTCTTGCTCCTGGTTCCCAGTTCAATTTTCCAGAATAGAACAGATCAGCTCCACTGCGGAGCTGTTCAAGGTGAGGAAAAGGGACAAGAAAATGATCAACCTGAACTTGGAGCATCTTTCCCACAAGGGGCCTTGTAGTTTAACAAAAAGGAGACACAGAAAGAAAAAGACAGGCATGCCTCCCTCTCATGTAATATGGGGCCAGCTGATGAAATTCATGGCCAATGCAATCAAAACTTGCAAAACTATGCAACACCCTTTGGGATTCCCAGGCACACATCCACACTTTCTGATAGAAATTCTGTTAACAACTCATCTAAGGATCAGATTAAAGGCCTGCAACATCATACCACCACCCCGCATATGAGTTTGTAGGAGATCTGTCTGTCTCCTGTTGAAGTTTCTTCTCACGTTCAAGAGATATTTTCAACATAGACATGAAACATCTCTGTCTGACACGCAAGCACACAACTGAATTTTGATTTCTGTTTCAAATCATGCAGGTAAGTCAACTAAACATTGTTTTGGGTGGCAGAGTTGGAATTTTAACAGTTCTCTGTATACTCATTTGCTCAATCCATCTTTGCGGTATAATGTAAGCAACACCAGCACCAAAATACCAACAGTCAGGTCCTCTGAACTGGCCAAACTGATATGGTAATTCACTGGCCATGGAAAGGAAAAGCAACGTGCCTTTTTGGACAGGGAATGAGAAGCAGAGATTCTGTGCCAACTTGGCATGGAACCTTGGCTGCTGGATCCAAATTAGATTAGTTTTTTGCTTTTAGTTAGAGGAAAACCAGATCAGAAGCGGAGGCCCCAGCCTGCTCCCGTGATCTGCCACTGACACCTCCTGAATTCTAGAGCATCAGACACTGGGCACACTGGTGCAAGCCCCATTCAGTGCACATGAATGGCAGAGCACCTCTGGCATATGGGCAGGGCCAGGGGCCCCATGAAGGCCAAGTGTACCCCAGATTTTCAGTGGAGAGGGGAGACACCTGGCAGCATGGAAGAGGAGGCATTTCAGAGACCAATTAGGAGCGTTCTGTCCACGCCACAGGGACAGCTGAGAAGCAGCCTGCCCTGACAGCCCTCAAGGCCTCTGCTGAGCTAATGGTTAGCCACAGAGGCCCATCAAGCGCCGGAGCAAGAACCAGCTGCCCTGGGGGCATGTTCAGGGCAGGCAAGGCACAGAAACGTCTTGTCTTTAAGCAGGGCAGTCCCAGTGCACAAGCAGCACAACAAAGCATCTCTTGGCAGCTGCTGTTTGAGAGGCAACACTGGTGAGATACCTCTAGGCAGGGTACTTTCAGCAGCACAGTTCCTGCAGAGGGCGCTATGCTCTATTACGCATCTTTGATGTTGGAAGAACACTGGGGGAATGCACTCTCTTTCGGCTAATCCACATGTTCTGTGCTTTAGCAGGCAATGCCAAACATCCTGGCGGTCCCTGGCTGTGGCCCAGGGGCAGAGCCCCTGCCGGCCGGCCAGGCGTTCCTAGATAAGGCCCTGGGGAACATGCATCTAGTAGCGGGAGGGGCTGACTCTGTTCCTGTATACACTTACATGTATTAAAGAGTAAGCCCCATTACACCCAGTAGGTTTTACTTTGAAGTAAAAAGGTTGTTGCCTCAGGACAAGCATAGAGGAACAGCCTACCATGTGAACAGCAACACTGGGCAGAACATTGATCTGCGTGTATAAAGAGCTGATTCCGAAAGAACAAAACCTTTTGTGGTTGATATGCACTGGGAATGTCTCCCAGCCAGTCATTGGTTTGCTTGTGGATTTACCTCTGACCACTCGGACATTTCCCACTGTGGCCCACACGCTGGGTTTTTGCAGACCTTCCGCTCTTCAGGCCGAGTAATGTCAGCCGATTCACACAGATCACTGTAGACAGAGCTGTCAAACCCAGGGGAAATCATCTTCCAGCACCGGACAATGCGGAACTGGTAGCCTTCCCCACAGGTCCGGGAACACTCACTCCAACTGCTGGTCTCCCACCTGTCAGAAAAGCAATGAGTCAGCCGGGGAGGCAGGCAAGGAAGGAGCAGAGCCCACATGCCACTCCAGTGGTCTGGCTTGCATATTTCGGCAAGGGGAGAGGTGCAACATGCCACTCTTCTTTGCCTTTACATGTGATTTAGGTGGCTTCAAACACTTTATTGTATCTTGAGAAGCTGCCCAGGGAAATTGAGAGAACCAGGCAGTTTTTACACATAAGTAATAAACAAACAAATGCCCCACTTTTAAAATCAGGGTGCTTGCTAGTTGTGAAGTCGTGTCCGACCCATCGTGACTCCATGGACAACACTCCACCAGGCCTCCCTGTCCTCCACCATCCCCCAGAGTCCACGTAAGCTTACACCAACCGCTACAGCGACACCATCTATCCATCTCATCCTCTGCCGTCCCCTTCTTCTTTTGCTGTCAATTGCTCCCAGTATTAGGCTCTTCTCCAGTGAGTCCTTCCTTCTCATTAGGTGGCCAAAGTATTTGAGTTCCATCTTCAGTATCTGGCCTTCTAAAGAGCAGTCAGGGTTGATCTCCTCTGACTGGTTTGATCTCCTTGTGGTCCAAGGGACTCACAGGAGTCTTCTTCAGCACCACAATTCAAAGGCCTCAATTCTTCGGCGCTCAGCCTTCCTTATGGTCCAGCTTTCACAGCCATACATTGCAACTGGGAAAACCATAGCCTTGACTATACACACTTTTGTCGGCAGGGTGATGTCTCTGCTTTTTAGTATGCTGTCTAGATTTGCCATAGCTTTCTTCCCAAGGAGCAAGCGCCTTTTAATTTCTTGGCTGCAGTCCCCGTCTGCGGTGATCTTGGAGCCCAGGAAAATAAAATCAGTCACTACCTCCATTTCTTCCCCATCTATTTGCCAGGAAGTGGTAGGATCGGTTGCCACGATCATGGCTTTCTTGATGTTGAGTTTCAAACCAACTTTTGCACTCTCCTCTTTCACCTGCATCAACAGGCTCTTTAGTTCCTCTTCACATTCTGCCATTAGAGTGGCATCATCTGCATATCTTGTAGTACTCCCTCTAAAGGACAGGGTCCGCAGCTTGGGAGTACTGCTTGACCCAGAGCTGTCACTAGAGTTCCAGATGGCGGCGGTGGCAAGGAGTGCTTTCCTACAACTTTGACTGATCCAGCAGCTGCATCCTTACCTGGATGAGCACTCCCTAGCAACAGTGATGCATGCTCTGGTAGCTTCCTGCTTGCATTACTGCAACACGCTTTACGTGGGGCTGCCCTTGAAAATGGTCCGGATACTGCAACTGGTACAGAATAGAGCTGCCAGGCTGCTGACGGGGACCGGCCATTACTCTCACATAATGCTGGTCCTCTACCAGCTCCACTGGCTTCCCGTTGAAGTCTGGGTCCAATTCAAGGTTTTGATCTATAAAGCCCTAAACGGCCAGAGACCAGGATACCTGAAGGAACACCTCCTTCTTTATACGCCCTCATACCCCTTAAGATCTGTGGGAGAAGAGAGGTAAAAAGGCCATCAACTCAGAGTAGGGCCTTCTCTGCTGTGGCGCCCAGACTGGTGCCAAGTTTATGCTCTTTTCGGTGTCAGGTCAAAACCTTTGTATTTAAACAATATTTTAAAATTTAACAACTTTTAACCTTCAGTCACTCTGTTTGCTTTATGATTTATTGTTTTGTTCTGTTTCTATTATTTATTAGAAATTGTTGTTTTAATTGTTCTTTTAAATATTGTAAGCCGTCCTGAGACTTTGTATAATAGGATGGCATACAAATGCTTTTAATAATGAATAAATATCTGAGGTTGTTGATATTTCTCCCGGCAATCTTAATTCCAACTTGTGATTCATCTAGCCCAGCTTTTCGCATGATGAGCTCTGCATATAAGTTAAATAGATGTTTTTTCTGGAACTCCCTAGCTTTCTCCATGATCCAGTGCATGTTGGCAATTTGATCTCTAGTTCCTCTGCCTCTTTGAAATCCTGCCTGTACTTCTGGTAGTTCTCAGTCCACATACTGCTGCAGCCGCGCTTGTAGGATTTTGAGCATAACTTTGCTAGCATGTGAAATGAGTGCAATGGTGCGGTAGTTTGAACATTCTTTGGCATTGCCCTTCTTGGGGATCGGAATGTAAACTGACCTTTTCCAATCCTGTGGCCACTGTTGAGTTTTCCAAATTTGCTGTAATATTGAATGTGGCACTTTTACTGCATCGTCTTTTAGGATTTTGAATAGCTCACCTGGAATACTGTAATCTCCACTAGCTTTGTTGCTGCTCAGACTTCCTAAGGCCCATTTGACTTCACATTCCAGGATGTCTGGCTCGAGGTCAGTGACCACCCCATCATGGTTATCAGGGACGTTAAGCTCTTTCTTGTATAGTTCCTCTGTGTAATCTTGCCACCTCTTCTTAATCTCTTCTGCCTCTGTTAGGTCCTTGCCATTTTGGTCCTTTATCATGCCCATCTTTGCATGAAACTTTCCCTTCATTTCTCCAATTTTCTTGAAGAGATCTCTGGTCCTCCCTATTCTATTGTTTTCTTCTATTTCTTCACACTGTTCATTGAAGGCATTCTTATCCCTTCTAGCTATTCTCTGGAATTCTGCATTCAATTGGGTGTATCTTTCCTTTTCTCCCTTGCCTTTCGCTTCCCTTCTTTCCACAGCTATTTGTAAAGCTTCCTCAGACAGCCATTTTGCTTTCTTGCATTTCTTTTTCTTTGGGATGGTTTTAGTTGCTACCTCTTGTACAATGAGGTGAACCTCCGTCCATAGTTCTTCAGGCACTCTGTCTATCAGATCTAATTCCTTAAGTCTATTTGTCACCTCTACTGTATATTCATCAGGGATATGATTTAGGCCTAGTGCATTTCCCTACTTTCTTCAATTTAAGCCTAAATTTTGGGACAAGAAGCTCATGATCTGAGCCACAGTCAGCTCCTGGTCTAGGTTTTACTGACTGTATAGAGCTTCTCCATCTTTGGCTGCAGAGCCCATAGTCAATCTGATTTCTGTGTTGACCATCTGGTGAGGTCCATGTGTAGAGTCGTCTCTTGAGTTGTTGGAAAAGAGTGTTTGCTATGACCATCGTATTCTCTTGACAAAATTCTACCAGCCTGTGCCCTGCTTCATTTTGTACTCCAGGGCCAAACCTGCTGGTTATTCCCATTATCTTTTGGCTTCATTTTGGAGATTGTATCCCAGTACTGCTTTTCCTACTCTTTTATTGACTATGAAGGCTACTCCATTTCTTCTGTGGGATTCTTGCCCACAGTAGTATACCTGATGGTCTTCTGAATTAAATTCACCCATTCCTGTCCATTTTCGTTCACTGATTCCTGAGATGTCGAAGTTCAGTCTAGTCATCTCATGTTTGACCATGTCCGGCTTGCCTTGATTCATAGATCTTACATTCCAGGTTCCTATGGAGTATAGATCTTTGCAGCATCAGACTTTCCTTTCACCACCAGATACATCCGCAACTGAGTGTCCTTTCGGCTTTGACCAATCGCTTCATTCTTTCTGGTGCTACTAGTACTAATCCTCTGCTCTACCCCAGTAGCACATTGGACACCTGTTGACCTGAGGGGCTCATCTTCTGGTGTCATATCGTTTTGCCTTTTGGTACTGTTCATGGGGTTTTCATGGCAAGGATACTGGAGTGGGTTGCCATTTCCTTCTCCAGTGGACCAGCTTTTGTCAGAGCTCTCTGCCATGATCTTTCTGTCTTGGGTGCCCCTGCATGGCATAGCTCATAGCTTCTTTGAGCCCCTTCGCCATGGCAAGGCAGGGATCCATGAAGGGGAAATCAGGGTAGCAGTAGACAAAATATTCTTATGGCCATTCCTCTGGGGAAAATTGGGGAGAAGGCTTCAAATATCCCTAAGCTGCGTGTGATGTTTTCTTCTACTCCTTCACAACTGACATGAAGGGGTATAAGATGAAGATGCTCAAGGAGAGAGAGGAGGAAGACATCCAAGGGGGGAGCAGCAGGTGCAGGAAACAGAGAAAAAACAGATAATGTTGCTTCTATAATGTGAGTCTTTAACATACTTCAATATTACCAGTTTTATTATATTTGCATTTATTATTCTTATCAACCTGAGAGATGTAGCTATAGGGAGACTCATAAATTGAATAAATAACCAGTACACCTCCCCTCCTGACAAAGAGTTCCCTTCTAGCCCTCCTAGTCTGTCCCTCCTCATGGCAAATGTGAATCTTGGAACCCAGGTCTGCCATGATAGCAGTGGGAGGCAGAGCTGGAAGACCCAAGGTGCACTTCAGTTGGAGGAACATTGATCTCCAGACTCGCTGGCCATGAAGGAAGGGTGTCCCAAACAGCCACTGGTGCCTGGTCTGCTCTTTTTATTCCTTGGATCATGCCCAATGTGTGAAGCATTTCTCCAGAGTTCCTACCTGGGCTGGCATTCCCTCCCTGCACAAAATTCATGGACTGGCTCAGGACGGGTCGAGGCATCACAGTACATGTCATCCACTTCAATTCCATCATAACGGATACACATGGCATAGGTAGACATCACACCTAGGTTGAGAGAGAGAGAGAATGACAGACCAGTATGACTTGACCAGGACATTGAATTTGATAGTTGCTGTGAACTGCCCAGAGTGTTTCATCTATTGGCCAGTATATAAATAAAAGAAATAATGGTTATTCTCATCAGAAACAAAACCATCCAAAACATGCACGTAAGCCCTACAGCAGCCCAGACGCTCATACAGTGTCCAAAACAGTCAAACCAGATTGCTTCTGCTGTTACAGCATTGTAGAAACATCTGCAACTTGACCCAGACAATTTGATCTGGACACTTCTGCAATCGAGTGTCCATCCTTTTCATCCAGAGGAGTGTTTTCCAAAGTGCCTTTCCAGATCAAGATGGAAGGACAAAAGAGGCTGTAAAAAGGTGCAAGGTGGTGGTTGCAGGGAGATAAACAAACCAATGCTGAGTGTAGGGTGAACAGGCAGGAAATTGGACTATTAGCAATGCAGGATTTCAGTCTAGACGAACTGACAATCCAAAAACTGACTTTAGCAGGCAGAACCACACTGTGGCTTCACAGTTCCCTGAAAAGAATAATGCTCCTTATTTCTTCAGTTCTGGAAACTGGGTCTGAATATTCTCTTTTTTCCAAATGAAAGATAAGTGCAGGAGAATAGAAAGATAATGGGGGACTATTTTATCCCGCAGATAAAGGAGACCATGCTTCATTTCCAGTTTCCATAGAACACCTGAGATGGATGATGTGACAGGTCTGAATGCCCCCTCCCATTTCAGGGTGAAGGATCCCCAGATGTTTTCCTTGCAATGGCCACAGTCCAGCACTGCAAAATCTCAGAGCAAGTGCTGGTCACCAGGGCATCCTGTTTGGCACATGCAGCATTTAAAGTGGCCCCTGTACTGAACTGACCTGTGGTGCAAGTGGAGCTGCAGGGTTCATGGGAGGAGAGTTTCCACCGGTACATGTCTGCTGGACTCATGTTCTGCCCCTTTCGGAACAGCTTCAGCCGGTTCCTAAACAACAAGGAGTGCAAAGTCAATGGGGAGGTTTTGATGAGTCACACGAAAGACAGCAATGGGGAGGAAACAAAAGATATTGGTCCAGATGGGTTGGGGGGATTCTGTGCTTTAAGAAAAATATTAATTTGGGGGTGCAATTCTTTGAATTTAAAATCTGGGAATGTTTGGTTATAATACAACATACCTGTCCTGATCCCCAAGCAGAATCCCCAGCCTGGTTAGAGGCAGAGCTTCCACTGTCTAGAAATAGAGAGAATGGGATAAAAATACCCACAAAGAGAAATAGTTCAGTTTTCAAAGACAAATATATGTGTGTATATGTATTGCAGCCTTTAAGCAGAATTGCCCCAAGATGCAAAAATTGTCCATTTCATGACATGAATCCACTTACTGTAATAGCCATTTTGTTACAGGACAACACTTCAAACCATCTCATAAGACGACCACATTTCTCCACATAAATGTAACTATCAGGTACTGCATCAGATGGATGGGGTCTTTGTCTACAGTGGGAATCCTATTCTTCCATGTCATGGCAGGGGGGTGACTTGCAATGCCCAGACTGGGTAACAAACCATCAAAGATCCCTGGAAACATTTCAAGCCAAGGCCCGTCCCTGAGTTCTTCCATTAGCAGAGGTGGGCGTCGTGCCTATGCTGAGCTGAGGGCTTTTTCTGCAGATTAACTCTTAAGTGTGGACCACTCATTCCAAAGAGGCCTGAGGCTATAATTTCATGAAAGACTTTCTGAGACAGTGCAAAAGAAATCCTGCCAGGCTTGTTTTCATCCTCAGCTCTGATTTTATACTCTGTTATGGTTGCTTGTTCATTGGTTGTATTGCGTTTATATGCCTAATTTTATTTCTGCTCGAGACTCTGAGATTCTTTCCGTGAATAAGATGGAGGTCCCTTCACATGAACAAGTCAAAGACCTTTAGCAGCTCATCTGTCTTTCCATCCTTTAAAGATTTTCTGGTGCACAAAAAAGATGGAGGAGGCAGAGGGAAGACACAGGTGGGTTACAAGAGGAGGAAGACATCAATACAACCTCCCTGTAAAATCCCATTGGAGGCACCAACATATTTCCAATCCATGAAGAATGGCCCCTTCTAGCTCCCTTTTTCTATTGTGTTGACTGGCAAAGCTCAGGTGAGAGAACATTATCTGTTGAAGAGTGGGGTGAAAACATATTCAGCAACACCTCAAAACAAGAAATGATCAGTTCCCATGGAATAGAATTGTACTGGATGCAGAGGGAGAGTTCCCATTTGTTCACCTAGAGTGGGCACCCATGACGATGGCTCTTGCATACCATTTTCATCTTGAAACTTGCACACCACTTCATAAGCATACTTACAGTACAATCCTATAGATGTCTACTCAGAAGTAAGTTCCATATTTTTCAGTGAGGGTTATTCCCAGGTAAGTGTGTATAGGATTGCAGCCTTAATCAACCCTTACCTTCCTGAAATGTGCGCATATACCACCTCATGCAAATAGGTCTACCTCTGTTTCTGAACCTATGCAATTTTTACAAAAGCTCACATCTACATCTTTAAACTGTCTGCACCAAACCACCCTTCCCAATATCGTACACAGTTCCAACACGAACCACATCCTTTCTCCTATTAATCAAGACAGTTGGCCCTTGATCTACTTTATATATAGAAAAGAGATGAGAAATTCTGGCAACTTGTGGCACTTTCAGAGAAGTGCATTAAGTGCAAAGACAAGGGAGTGAGATTTCATTCAATTACTGAGCAAAAGGCGTCATGATGCTCTGTGGCTTCATGTCATGGAATGGACAATCGCTTTCAGGTAATGGGCAATTCTACTCCAGGTCTCCAACATATATAGATTGTTATACGCCTGATTGCTAGACACAGAGATGAAAGGTGCAGTATCTCCTTGGCATGGAACAGAACATGGTATGCCATACGCTAAGATCTACAAGATATACCTGGCACCAAATGCAACATTTCAAGAGGGCAAAGAAATAGCCCACACCTCCCACTTCTTGCTTGAGTCCAAACAGAGTTAGCCTTCAAGAGTGCTTCTCCCCTCTATTCTTCCCCAAAAGACCTCTGAAAGGCCGGGTGGCAAGGAATATTTGAGGGTCAAAAAAACCCTTGCATAACCTTAACACAGATCGTTGGTTACGCACACATAAATAACACCTGCTGCCTGGCAAGTTATGATTGGGTCTTGTATATGCATAATAGTGGACAGCACATAAAGGAGACCCTGAGGATAAATTAACCCACAGTGGGCTGTCACGTGGTCTAAAACCAAGGCAGAGATAGAGAGACAGAGACAGAGAGAGAGAGCAAACAGAATGCCTGGAGCCCTGCTTAATGCTACCCAAGCAAGTTTTGTAAATGAAAGAGAACATCCAAACCCATACAATGTTGGAATTCATCATCACAAAGTTAAGCACCATAATATATTCAAGAGTAGCTCTTAACCTTTTAAGGTGGTTTTCATCTACTTCTTAAGGTAGTTTTTAACCGGAACAACACCACCCCACCCCCCACCCCCCGCCCAGGAGGTAACATCTCTCCAAGCAAGACTACGCTCTTTGCAACTGATACAGAGGGTGCTTTTGTATGTGCATGCATCTTCCGTCCTTTGCGTCTGTGAGCACAATGTTGTTTTGGTTCAGGAATGGGGTGGAGAGGGGGCTGGTTGCTGCTGTTGCTCCCCAAGCAGGGATGGGACATTCCAGTTTAATTCTGCCTTGCTCTCTTTTTTTCTTCAAGGCTGAATGGAGACATTGAGCTTTTGTCCTTGGAGCTGGGTGAACCGTTTATCAGCTGTGATTGCGAGACAGAAGGGGTTGCCTAAACCCTTAAAATCCCAAGCACTCCCCTATTTGCCACCAGAGGACCACTTGGAGGGAACTGTGGGGCTGAGAATGGCTGTTCTAGGGCAAGATGATATGCTGCACCTTTACAGAAGGAAAGAGCAAAACTATATTTGTGTTTTGTTTCTAACCCATCCAGAATTGTCATGATGTTTTCAGATGGACACCGAATACGACATGGAGATATCCAGCTGTCTCTGGATTGCCAAATGATGGTTTGTCACCATTTCTTGACAGCAGAAGCTCTGGAAACACCCTTTCCTCACATGTTATAGAAGAAAGGAGCTGGGTGTTGTTTGTTTAACCAGAACATTTTCGTGGAACATTGAGGTATTTTGGTGTGCTCTTCTTTAGATATCTTTTGTCAACAAAGATCTTTGAGCTTGCAATCCTGTGCACACTTACCTGGGAGTAAGCCACGTTGAACACAGTGGGACTTACTTCTGAGTAAACTGATATAGGGTTATGCTGCATTGAGCATCTTCTGGGGAAGGGGTAGAACTGTTTAATTCATTGCATAATCTTTTGTTGATCAATCACTAGTCTAATCGGTTCAGAAATAGATATCACATTTGCATTGTACCCAAATCTCACACTGGGTGACTTTTTGAGATACTAAAGGAATTTAAAGAACTGATGACCCTAATAGGCAAAAACCACACTCACTATATTACAATTGCATTTGAAGGAAAAATAATTCAAGGTAGCCTGTTTTCATTCCTTCTTATTGTCATAAAATAGATCAAAAGGACTGTCAGACATGCAGGGGCTTACCCAAACTTGCCTGGGCATGCAAGGAGCAAAGGAATGATTACAGGTCACAGGCCGACAGGGGTTCTGTCATCCCTAACAGAAGCCCCAATCCCCAGCCACCAGGTAGGCCAGCCTTGCAGGCAGAAGTGGGAACCACCAGAATTCAAATCTACCAATCAGCAACCATGGCAGGAATTTCAATCCAGTGAGTACCTGTCATCATTACCTGGTCAGCAAAGGTATAAAAAGGGACTGTGCTGTGTGCTCTGGGCTGATTGCCCTTTTGCTGTGATCAAACCTATTCTTGAGAATTTCTGTCGTTCAGTACCCTTGAAAAAAGCTGGTAATCTTGGTTCAGAGCCCATGTAATAAAACTCCCCCCTTCCAATTAATCAACTGAAAGATCTGCTGCTCCTATGTGAGCCTGCCCAAGCCTTGGACTCTTCAGGGGAGGCCCTTCTTTTCACACCATCACCTTCAGTGGCACAATCGTGGTGATGTGGAGCAAGGCCTTCTCGGTGGCCATTTCCAGGCTTTGGAACTTCTTCTCAAGGGTGGCTTGGTTTGCTCCCTCTCCACTCTCCTGCTGGTGGCCAGTGACCACTTTTTTCAAGAAGGCATTTGGCCTGTATGTGAGCCTGTTCGGTCTAATGTGGTTTCCTTTCTGTTGCTGTGTTTTAGTGCTTCAGTGCATTTGTTTTATTACGGCTTGGATCAAATTTTGTAAGCCACTGGAAGTGCTATTTTTTTCTGGTAGGAAGGCAGGATGCAAATAAAATCAATCAATCTGTTGAGTAGTCCAGTGCTTAGTATTGCCGACACTGGGGCTGTGCCCTCAGAATCATGGAGGGAAACCCTGCTGGGAGTATGAGCCTGTGCTAGTGGCAGTTGTGACTATCCTGGGGAGGGCATTCAGTAGCAAGGAAGCAAGCAGGTGGATGGAAGCAACCACATCTCCAGTTTGTCTAGTCGGTCCTGCCCTGACACCTTCTGCAGCTGCTGCTTCTCAGCTGGGAGATGCTGCATTTCACAAGAAGGTGGCCAGGTAACGGATGAGGTAAGTGTCTCACAGCTCTAAAGAGAGGCCAAGCCAGACATGGCCTCATCCCGCCAACCTCCATTTATAGCCCAGACAGCCATTCAGTGCTTCCCCCTGTTTTCACCGTCCTGCCCACAGCCTGGACCCTGCCAAGGTGGCTGCCCAGAATCAGCCTTACTTCTTGTTAGGTGGCCAGAACTATTAATGGATCTCACGCCCTGAATGGCAGCCCGGCAGGCAGGAATGGAGCCAGCAATGCTTCTCCTCACCTTCGGAGTCTCCCTGGCAATAAAAACCTCTGCTCGTTCCATCTTGAGCTGTTGTTAAACACACAGACAGGAGCAGGCGAGAAAACATGCAGGCAGCTTGTGGACAAACTTGCACCGCTTGCAAGGAATTCAGTAACTTTACCCAATTGTGTTTAAAGGGCTGCACACTCAGAGTAGCAAGCAACAAGAGCAGGTCACAAACATACCAACAACTGCCCATTAGCAAGCATACAAAATGCTGCTGTAAGACTAACAACTGTGATTGAGATCACTCAATCTCTTCAAAACTGAGGAGAAATTTCTTCAATTTTCATGAAGTTCTCCACCAAAGAGGCAATTTGCAGGAATTCCACAGTTTGGGGGCCACTGCCAAAACAGCCTCTTTTTCCTGCACTACAGCCTAGCTGATCTTAATGGCAGGCATTAGAAAATGACCCCTGAAGCAGATCTGAATGTACAGGTTTGGTGAAATTGATCCATCACTATTCCATATATTCATTTGTACACTCCTTTTCTGAACTACACTCTTTGAACAAAAACATGGTCCAAAGCCAGATGGACTTTAAAGGTTAAGACCAGCAATTGAATGCAGCCAAGAAATTTACTAGTAGCAAGCGTAGCTGGTCAAATATGAACCAGATTCCTGGATCCCACCTGCATCCTCATGGCGACATTAGACTGTCCCCAAAGGGCAATGCAATGCACTGGCTACACCAGTCTCTATATCCTGAGGAGCAGGACTTGTTCACTGTCTGAAAGCCTGCTGATGTTACTTGACCATGCTATGGAGCAGGGCTTTCTCCATTGTGGCACCCACCATGCCAACAATCACCTCAAAGAGATCAGGAGGGCTCCTAGTTTGATATGTTCCCACTGGTAACTTGAAGCATATTTTTGCATTCCTGGCTAGATATTCCTGGTTATTTGAATGAGATGTTATTCCATAGCTGTTTAATTGTATATTTCTTTTGATTTTGTAGTATTTTACCATGTTTTCATCTTGTGAACCAGTCTATGGCCATGGGGCAGATCAGAAAACAGCTAGGAGTACCTTCTCACATTAGCTATCAAGATAGCTCGGGGAGGCAGCCTCTCTTTCCTACTGTGCCTCTTTGCTTTTGGGGAAGGGATGGTAGATGTCCAAGTGCAAAAGGCCTAAAGGTGTCTCTTTCAGTGCTTCTTTAAGGGTAGCACTCCCCCTCAAGAAGGAATTTGCTTCTTCCAAAGTCTGGGTCTTCAATCCCACACTGGATGTGTTTGGGTCACGAAGGAATTTGGGGCACATAGATGCAAAAGGTTAATGTTTGTCTTTAATTAGTATGAGGTTCTATTGCACCTCACCCCTGAGAAAAAGACCTATCCCATGGCCAAAAATTTGCCACAATGCAACTGGAATACCTGCACAGAACACCAGGTGGCAGGCGAGAAGGCGCTAAACAGCAGGCAAAGAAGGCTGGTGCTGGGCAGACTTCTTTTTGTCCTGAAAGCTCCCCCTGCACCAACTGGGCATTAAGCCTTGGTTGCGATGAAGCCTGTAAACTGCTCAGTGAGTATTCCTGATTTATACACCCTGGATTACCTTCCACCCCAAACACCAGCCTTTTTCTCTGCAGAGTATTTCTGGCATACACTAATAGAGTTAACTATCCAACTTACCTTAGGCACTTCCTTCCTGTCATGGACTAGAGGGGTAAAAGATCTCCACCTGACCCTTGAGCTATGTCAGTGCAGTTGCAAAGGTGGATCCGGAGCCTCTTACCTGGATTTGTGGGTTCTGTTCCCTTGAGAACTGTTGGCAGAGATGGTGGCATTGGTGAATGGGGGCTCTGATGAGGTGTTCAGTGTTTTCTCCTGGGTCAGCTCCAGGAAGGTACCATTGATGGCATAAGCCACCACTTCCTCATTGTCATCATAATCAGAATAGAGGCTCTCTGTGTCAGAATCTACAGAGTTGACGGGGATCCCTGGAGAAAAGATACCACTCACAGTCTTGTTCCTCACAGATTCTTTTGAATCAGACGTCTTCTCCAAAAGTTTATAGGTGATGGCATTTTCTGAAAAGAATTCTTTAGATGCTGTTTGAGAGTCAAACTCTCTGCCATTTCCTTCCACCATGTAATTGGATTTGGTTGCATTTGAATCTGGAATGGGGAGCAAAAATAGGAAAATCAACGATAACTAGAAAGATAAAGAACTGAAACAAACATTTGCAAATATTCAAAATCCAGCAAAATTTCAAATTAAGATTCTTTACACTTCAGGATGTGAATATTTTAGACTTTTTTGGTAACCTTTATTGTGTGGATTTTTTTCTGGAATCACATCTGAAATCTCTCAAGCCATTCAGCCACTTCAACCATTCAATCAATGGCTGAAAACTATAGAGGCCACTGCAACTGGGGTTGAACTGTCAAGGGCCCCGTGTCAAGATGGAGCAATAGCAAAACTGGGGCCAGAATGTGCACACACAGCGCTGCTCTCCACTTCAGCTAAACACCCCTTGGCCACAAGCTTAAGCATTCAAAGATTCAATGAGCATTTAGAAACACAAAAGAACTTCTGGAACCAATTCAAATTAGTTGTAAAAATACAATCACATTTAAAGGATATAGAAGATACTTAGTCAAAATTCTAATATAGATTGCTAAATACTGGTTGAAATTCTCACTGCAATATCAAATGACGGCTGTTGATCCATGTCCCCAGACTGTCTGTGGCTAGTGGAGAAAGCAGCTTTAAACTCTGGGCCTCCTCCTCCTCACCTTTGGGCCGCATGCCTTGCAAGACTGGGTCACAGTCACCGGTTTCTGTCTGTCCATAAACTTCATTGGTCTCTTGGATTGTGCTCAAGTCCAAGTCTTCAGCTGTGTCTTGCCTGCCAAACACCTGATTCTCCAGATGGATCTTTTCTTTGGAGAGCGTCCCAAAGAAACTCGCATTACGCTGAACAAACCCCAAAGGCTCTTCCCTTTCAAGCTCACTGCTTTCTTCACTTTCCGATTCGGAGAAGGTATAGTACATTGGCTGCAAGCTTTTGGAGTGTGGCCTCCTTAGAAGTGTATATTCATAGGTTATTGATGGGTTCTTACCGTTTTGGTTCCAAAGCTGGAGCAGGGAATGAAATAAGAAACGTGTAGTTATATGACTACTACAGCAGAGGATATCATGTAAGGCTTCTAAAAGTCACTTCCTCTAAGCCTAACCTACCTCACAAGGTTGTTGTTCCTCCTATGAGGATAAAGTGGAGCTATGTAAGCCACCTTGAGTTCCCCATGAGAAGGAAAAAGGTGGGATGTAACAACATCAATAAGAACAGCAGCAGCTGCAGAATGAAACCACTGCTACTACAGAATACAGTGAACATGCTTGTTTTTTATGCACTAGAACCCCAGGCTAAATAGAAACTTATTTGGTGCCACCTGGTTGCTAGGCAACATTCCTTCCCCTGCTGTCTGTGAGCCTTGCTTGCACCTAAGGCCTTCTGATGTGCTGCACCAAGTGATCCCTGTCACTGCAGTATAACAACAATTCCAAAAACAAACTACCTTGGAGTGGCACCCCCTGCTTTCACTCTTCCAAGACTAACCTCAATGAGCATGTCAAAAATACATGCTTTGAGAGAACTCACAATATATACATGGATACTTTGAGAGAAAAATAGACAGAAATGTGTACTTTGAGAGAAAATGTTAAACTTTTCTGTGGATTAAAAAAAAAACCAATCAAGGAGTGGGATAGAATGTACTTATGAGTCTTTGGACATGCAAAAGCGACATGGACCAGATTGATTCTATACTTGATTCTATACTTACAGGCAGAGTTACGTGTGCTATTATGTATGGATGGATGGATGCATGTATGTACGACATACTTTCCATGTTAGCTAACTGCTAGAAAGGTGGATAAAACCATTCACAGGAAAATATTAGCATTTTGGGGTACACCCCTGCCCCCTGCCACTTACCATGATATTCAAGCCTTGATTGGTTGGCCCCTGTGCCACAATATATTCTATGCCTGTCTCATATATGTCCATTGGCCTCCGGTATTTGAAAACAGTCCCTGCAATGTTGAAATTTTTGGGGCTGTCTACTCTGAGGTTCCCATTGAAGTAGTAAAAACCAGCTTCATCTGCAACAGCTGTAAAAGTCAAGAAAGAAAGACAAAGACCAGATCTCTCTCTCAGATTATGTTCTGGAAAATGTATTATAAACCCTCTTAAATAGCTGAAATAGCTGCACCCTCAAAACCAGGGTTAGGGAACTTTAGGCTCAGGACTCCAACCTCTGGGAATAACCAGAAGCCCCCCCCCCCCCCGCCCCAACATACACACCTCTGGCCACTGGTCACTCAGTGGAATGTTTTCTCGCATAGCTTAGCTACAGGCAGCAGGAGCTGCAGCACCAATAGGCTACTATACCTAGAATACCATCCACCACTCTATGCCTTCAGCCATCACTGCTGTGATATGGCCCCCAAGTGCCTCTCTGAAATGGAATTTGTTGCCCTGGATAAAAGAGGTTCAAAATTCTTGTACCAAATGTTGGATTAGCCCCGCCTTGGTTTACCATTAGTGAAATACAAGTGATGCCATGAGATATTTAAGAGCGATTTAATGGACTGGCACAAGCAACAGAAAACGCAACAAATGGCTCAGGGAAATCACACAAGAGGCACCTGCTCTTGGCAGAAAAGGGAACTGAAGTAAGAAAGAGGCCTGGAAGTGTTAACTGCCTTTATGAATCCAAGGAGGTCAAGGTGAGACTGATTTTCAGAAACCAATGTTGCAAAAATAGTATCTAATAAGTACTTTTATGTATATTGAAAACTGATTTTAAAACAACAATCTACCGCTTGGTTATGATCCTATTATACACACCCAAAACATCAGCAGATTTCTTCCGTTCAATTATTTGGATATCTCTTGCTCCAGCAGGAATGTGAGTCACCAAAGAGTAGCCTGCAGAAAACTGCATTAATGAATGAAAGGCAAGCTTTGCAACAGCAAAAAAAAAAAAAAAAAAGTTTTTCTTGAAAGTTGTGAGTTTTAATATCTCCTCTAACCCAGGAACATCTGATGGATGCTTCCAGGAAGAGAATTTTTATGCACTGTGAATAGACACGGAGAACAGTGGAAATGGTAAAGTTACCTCTTCTTTTTCTCTTTAAAGGTTTTTCTCTTTTTGGAAAGAAAGTGGAAGATGGCATTCTCTGGACCCTCCCCATCGCCAAATCCCATGGATGTGGCAGGCTGATTGCATAATTGCATAAAAAATAGTCACATTGTTCTTGTTGTTAGTCGCGAAGTCGTGTCCGACCCATCGCGACCCCATGGACAACATTCCCCCAGGCCTTCCTGTCCTCCACCATCCCCGGGAGTCCACTTAAGCTCACGCCAACTGCTTCAGTGACTCCATCCAGCCCCCTCATCCTCTGCCATCCCCTTCTTCTTTAGTAGTCACATGGATGTACCCAGTGTTGGCTGACTGAAGAATTTTCAGTTGGGTAGCAATCTACGCTTTGCAGGGTCAGATCAGGGGATATCTTTGTTTCCATATAAATTCAAATGAGCCCTCAGTTTCTCAATAAAGTAGCCTCTGGCATTCTGATAGTAGTGAGGTAAGACAGCAGGGAAAGCTATAGTGGGGCCTCCAACCCACTAGGGGGCATATGAACATCAGAATCCCAGAGTGCCAGGATTTGTCATTTGTATTCATGAATGATCCATCACCTGGAACTTGAGGGATGTCAGAGGAAGACTCTGCCTCCCATAATGTCTCACATGTCCCTGATGATGGGCTTAATGTCTCTCTTGTTCAACACTTGTAACACGATAAGAAAAATATGTTCTCCAGCCTTACCAAGATGTGAATTTCCCTTTCTGTAACTCCCAGTCACATGGGTACAGCTGCTCCCGTTCCCTTGACAGACACCACATTTGTCCAGCGTGTGAGTTGAGAAGAGAATCCCATCACATCCAATGGGCTAGAAACAGTGTGAATAGAGTGTTGAGGGCCAGGCCAAGGGCGTAGCCATGGGAATTTCAAGAAATCTACTGACAATATGGTTGTTATAATGTTTAACAACCTCACATTTTCCAGAAACGCAAACCCCTCGGAAATCAGAGTATTTGCAGGATGTCCCGTCGCGTGCCAGGGTCATGAGCTGCCTTTGACTATCAACAGTTGTGCAGTGGAGATCACATGGCTTGCTAGAGATGTGGACATAGTCATCTGTGGAAAGAGGGGCACATAACATTGGCAACATCCACCATGCACAACAGCAGCTTCTTAAATGTCACTGGCAAATTGCCCTGCACTATGCAGAGAAATTGCACGGCATACACACAGAGAAAGCAAATTGTTACCATTTAGTCCTAAGGAGAAAACAAATCCCTGTATTTGGGGGAGAAAATATAAACATTCACCCAAGGATACGATTGGAGTGGGAGAGAAATATGCCCATTGTTCAAGTCATTGAGACTGAAGTATCTCTCTCTAGTGAAACAGGATTTAAAAGAAGATGAACATCCAAGTCTTTTTCAGGCACAAAAAATAACCCTACCATGTGGAAATTGTTACTTACGGCTTGAAAACTGAAACTAGTGAATATCTGGCACCTCCCTAGTTAATCACAATAGTTTTCTTTTTTTTAAAGCAGCTGTTGCAACTGTGAATATTCCTTTGAGCCAAAGGAAGGGGTGGGTGGCATCCTTTGATAATCAGATCAAATCTTGTAAGAAGAAGCTTCCTCCCAGAGCAGAGACCTTCATGCAGTGCAGTCCCTCTCCCTCTCTTACCGGGATATAAAGGTTTCCAGTGATAAGTCCGTCCATTATACACATGAGAGTTGAAGGACGAACACTGCTCCTCCCGGAAACTCCTTGCATTTGGAGGACAGGGCTAGAAAAAGAGGGAAAAACCGCAGCCCAGTGAAAAGGAGCCACATTTTCTGGGGTCTGTTTTACTTATCTGCAGTGTCCCTACTGGCTTGCACAGCCTAACAGAGTGAGACAATAATGAAGAGACCGTCTGAAGATTGCCACAGTTTGCCCTATGGATCCCATGATTTCATGGCATGCTGGATCCAAATTCAATGCCCACACTATCTTTGGCATGCTCATCCACTCCCTCACACATCAGCCCCAGTAGAGAAAGGAGTTCCCTGAGGCTTTTACTCCAATAGCTGAAATTGCTATGGGGGCAGCGCTCCATCTCCATGTGGCCAACATGGCGTCATGGGGTGCTGCTTTCTCCCCACCAAAGTGGTACCTATTTATCTACTCACATCACATGCTTTCAGATTGCTAGGTTGGCAAGAGCCAGGGACAAGGCAGCAGTAGTTCACCCCATTGCGGGGCTCTGACCTTTCGTTTGGCAGTTTAACCCGCTGTGCCACTCACACAACATGGACTGCCCCACTCTCTGGCTCTGACTTATAGTAACAAGAGAAAGGAAGAACTTCTGCACAACAAAAATCTGATTTGTGAACTGAATAAATTGATTATATCAATCTGTAGACTCCTCTTCGATTGCCATAATTCATTCTCCTTCCCCTAAAGAATAAGTGACACGTTGTCTTGACACGCTGCTGCATGGCCACCAGAAATCTCATGGAGCCCTTTGGAGATAACTACTAATCTTTGCTGACCTATTTTAAAAGCAATCTTCTCAGCAGCCATATGGGCCAGAAACTTGCTTTCTTTTTAATAAAAGGGGATTTCAAGACACCAGTGCCAAATTCCATGCTTTTCTCTGCAGTTGCACTAAATCCTCACATTCCTGGTTAAATGGAAGCCTATGCTCCCCCTTAAGGATGCTCTCTGCTGAAACTTTCAATTGCTAAGCTATCCCCATTCTCGTCCTATGACCCATATCAACAACAACAACAAAACCACAAAAATATTATTTTACTTGCACTTTGCAGAGCTGGTATCGTTTGGATGTTCCAGTGCATGTTTTATTAAGCAATCCTGTCACCAACTTCCTTCTAAAGAAAGAAAGGGTTGGAGAACAACATTTAAAGAAAAATAACAACAGTTAGGGTTGTTCATTTGCGAGCCTTTAAGAAGAATTGAGTCTCATGGGGCTATGCTGAGATCCATCCATCTGCCATATTTGCATTTCTAGCACTTCCATAATTTTGCAGCTGTAACCATGCACCAACCGGTCCACTTAAAACATTTTGATTAATCTATTTGTTTGGGGCACTCCATCACCTTTCCCCAGAAGCACAACTGGAGCCTGTCAGTTCCTGAAGCCTTTTTCGCTTGCTTGCCTTCTTGCACTGACCCATGAGCGTGAGACAGAACTACACACCAGCTGGGGCTTTTCTGAAGAGAGCCAGGCAGGCTTCACACCTTGAAAAGTGTCCTGTGTATGAAGCCAGGGCCTCCGACAGAAGCAGGTCCCTCCTGTAGCAGCAAACCAGGCTGCTGCCAAGAAGCCAGCCTTACCCTCACGCCTCGCTCACATGACTTGACTTTCTGTTCCACAAGGTGGCTGAACAGTGTACAGAATCAGTCACTGCTGCTTTTGCGGGTGCTGCACCCTTACCTAAGGAATGCATGAGAATTTTGTTCCTATTTGCAAATAATGTCCTGTTCACAAATTTACACACAAATATGAGCAGGAATGTAATTCTCTGGAAATGTTCACAGCATTGCCTAAGTTAGTGTTCAAAAATTTGCACCTGCATGAGTCTCCTCTTTTGAAAATGTACAGTTACCACTCCAAACTCCACTTTCATGCTTCAGCCGAATGTGTGGGGCAAGGGGTTGGGATGCATTCTTGAAAAAAAAAAAAAAAGTATTTTGCATGTTCAAAAACCAGCATTTTCCTGCTTTTAAAAATACTCTTGTTCCGGAGTGAGAATAAGATCAAGGTGGAAAACAGATCCTCCATGAGCTCAAACATCACTAGTTCTCCCATTCCTTTAACTTACATTTCCAGGAGCTGGTTTCATGTGTACACAAAGCAGGGGGATTCCAGAGCCTCCACATGGCCCTTCAATTGCTGAGTCATTATTCTAGCACAAGGATCATGGCCAAGCTAGCATGACTTTGCATTAAAGCAAGATGACCCTTCCTGATAGGCTTCATTTTAAAAACAATCAATGCTGCTTTTGTCTTACTGAAATTTGGCTGCGATTCAGCAGAGATGATTTCAGTAGTTGGGGGGGGGGGTGTGCACGTGTGCGTGTCCAAGTGAATCCTGAAAGGCAAAAATGGACTCCCAGCCCATTGGAGGTTGCCTGCCCCATAACTGATGCTAGAATCTCAACTGCAGAGTGTGGCCACCTTTCCTTGGTCTGAGGGGGTGTTGATTCATCTGATGGAGGTTACCTCTGCTGGAGACAATGCCTTTCTTGGGATTTGACTCCTCCCCCACACGTCCGGGTGCAAGCTGTCCATTTGGTCCACTCTCCCCACCAATATGCAGTAATGTCGACTCCTTCTTCAAGACTGTTGGAAGCTTGTGCATTCTCCTATTTGTCATTCAGGCAGCAGGGGGAAAGGGGGTATTGAAGGAAGAGAAGCTAGGAATGGGTACTGTGACAAACATCAGAGAAGCTCCTCAGGAACTGGGATCAAAACTATCACACTTTGGGTTGCTATTTTAGTTTGGCTTCTGCAGATGAGCCCAAAGTTGTTCAGTGCAGTTCTCCCCGCAACCTGGAAGATTTGGTGCCACCTGTCTGCCCTCCTTGCTGATAGCCACATGGGTGATGTCAGGAAGAGGTCACAGAAAGCACCAGACCTTGGTTCACTGTTGGAAAATGGAGAAGATGCCATTCCCAGCTTGCCTGGTGGCTGGACAAGGAGGTCCAGCAGGAAGCTGGGACACCACCATTCGCGTGCCAGCCAGCACTCCTGGACACAGCTCAGACTACTCTGCAGCCATATTCAGGCCTCAACACAAATCCCCCAACGCCTGTAGACACCTCCCCCCAACACTCACTCACACACATACACGTATGATAAATTCAGGAAAGGGGATGCAGCTCAGGGGGCACTGGCCAAAACGAATGTTCAGGACTGGGCTCCCAAAACCTGATGTGCCTCATCCCGTTGTCAGACTCTGCCACATCGGTATAAAAGGGAAGTGACGATGCAAGCAACAAATGAAAATGGGCATCCCAGCATTTCGCAGAGTCCCCAAAAATGGAAAGAAAAAGGACAGAGGAAATTTTGTTGTTTGGTAGGTGCGTTTAATTAGAAGTGCCCCACGTTGGGCAGTCAAATGCTTTCTAGGGGAACCTTTGTGAATGCAGCCCTCTGTAACATGCAGGTTCACCTGTGATGTTGACAGAACGAGGTTCCCCATGAGCAGAGCCACTGCCAGAGCCCCCTTCAGATAAGCACAGCCACTTGTGAAAATGTGGTCACAGCTCCATCTGGTGATCTTCATCCTAACAAAGCAAGAGGCAAAGCACAATGCTTTCAGGGCCGCAGGTGTTCTGTAGCTTGGAGTCAGGAAGGGGGACTTGTGCTCACTTGAGACTTTCATGAAGAGAAAGTTGACAAGATGAAGGAAAAGTCTGGACAGCTTTAAGGGAGAATTCGGCCAATTCATGGAGGAGAAAGCTAGGACTGACTACAAGTTCTGAGGCCTTTCTATAACCTTCCTGTGGGTTGTTGTGAGCAGCTGGTTGACTACTTGGTGAACATAAGGGTGGACAAATGGGACGTTGGTCTGATCCAGTACAGATTTTCTTATGGGTTTTTTAGTCCACATAAGCACACCACAGCCCCTCCTTGGCCTCTAATGTTCATAAATTTCACATGATGAATGAGTCCTGGACATCTAGAAATCAAAGTCTCCAATTAGAGCTGCAATTCTAAACACACTGCCTAGGAAGCAACATGGTAGGACTCCTGGCACTGTGAGCACCCTAGTTCTGCTGCTGTGGATGACTGACTGGCTTCCAAGAGCGTGGGGGAATGGTTCCAAGGATTCAGCTGGGTCTGGTGCAAAGGTGACCTCAGTAGGCCTCCCAAGGCCCAGAGAAATATATGGGAGGAAGCCAGTGCACAATCATCAACCCAGCCCTCTGCATCTGCATCTACAAGGGAAGTGTTTAAATCTAAGTGTCCGACATCACTGGAGCAGTGGCTTAGCCATGAGGAGAGTTCTGGTCTGCTACAAGGCACCTCAAGACAGGTTTACAGGGTACCCCATGAAAAGTAACTAAGAGGACTGCCAGGCACTGATGGGATGTTGGACTGGCTATCCTTCTCAAAATCTGCCTTTCTCAGAGCTCCATTCTCACCTCCAACCAAGTGACAAGCTTGGATGTGCACAGCTGCTTTGAGATGGCTCTTGGGACACCCACACCTCAGTCACAAGTGAGGCCCCCTTGAGCCCCCACCCTGTTCTGGAGCAACCACCTGGCATCTTTGGTCCCAGTCTCTCAGTCTTGCAGCATGTGAGCAAGGTGCTTACTTCCTAGGAAAAGAGACTCCAAATGAAGCTTCAGTTCTTCCCCCAACTCTGCCCTGCTTTTGGCTGCCTAGACCAAAAATTTCCTGAAATTCTGCTCATCTCTGACTCTCTCATACCAGGAGTGAAGATGCTGCATTTTCCAACCTGAAATGGATTATTATATTAATACTGTGTAGATTTCCTTCTCTCTTTCCCTTCCAGTGTCTGAGTAGCTGCTTGGTGTAACACTTTCAGGCAGGCTGAGTGAGAACAGTTGAGGTACAGAAAGAGATCTGTAGACAAGGAGACACCCAAGCACACCAACAAGCAGTGCTCAGGACAGACCTGGAAGAGAAGCAGTATTTACTCCAGCTGGACCTGGTGGCTTTGTGGGTCTCACAAAGCTGCACCACTCACAAGGCCTGCATGTGACAAGGGCTAGGGCTGTGCTTCTGGAGCCAGAGTGCTGCACACTGAAAGGGGCAGATCTCCAGCTTGGGGCTGCATCCTGCGGATCCTCTGATGGGCCACAGTGGGATCCTATTGCCTTCACAAGCAAGGACCCTGCTGAGAAGGTGTGCTGATTTGGGTGGGCAGTGGTAGCTTACTGTAGGAGCCCTTGTTTTGCATACAGAAGTTCCTCAGTTTGATTCTCAGCAGCATCTACTGGTAGGGCTAAGAAATATTCCAACCTATCCCAGAGAAAGAAACCCTGGTGCCATCATAGTGACAACAATGGGTGAGATGGAGCAGGAGCGGGCGTGTCTCCCAGGTTTGTCTGCGCACCACTTCCAGAATGCCTGAGCAACCATTCCAAGGTTTAAACTCTCATCCTCCTCCTCCTTCAGAGCAATGTCCACTCTACAGAGAACATCCTCCTCAGGCACCATCCAGGAGGACCATGGAGCTGGCACTCTTTGAGGTCCTAAGGTTTGAAAGAATCTTTGTTGCAGAGTTCATTGCTCTTCTCCCCACCACAAGGAGAAACTGACCTGGCTGGGGACCCCATACAACCTCTTTGGGCCCTCGTATATTTCCAGGCCTGCCAACATTTGTCAAGACTGGCCAAATGCTTCAGGATACTCTGGTCAACCTTCGTATATTGTGGGGTACACAGTATCCAAACATGGACTCACTCACTCAGGCTATGGCAGTTCCTTTAGGCATCTGCTGAGCCCTTTAAGCAGCCTCCTAAACAAATGCCCATTGCTCTGTGCCTTCAATGAACCCTTGATGAACCCAGGGCCCCTGACCCTACAAGGCAGGCTCCTGTTCCTGTGCCCCTCCTTGTTCGGCTTGCAACCTGCTTGCTCACCTACCTTTGACACCAGGGCAAGAGTAGTGGCAAGGAAGAGGACCAGGTGCAGCCATGATAGCCTCTCACCAGCCAAGCAAACCAGTGAGCCATAAGGAAGAGGAGGAGAAACGGCAGCAGCAGGAGCTGCTGATGGCCATGGCAACAAAAGGGCAGACTTGCTGGAAGAGCAGAGCCTGGAGGGTATCTGGGCTGGCGATACAGGTACTGAACTTCACTCAAGGCATAGCTACTGAAGTAGAAGAGCTGCA